AAAAAAAAATCACATACATAACTTAGCAGTGTGACATTTTAAAGTGAACAGTTCAGTAGTGTTAAGAAAATTCACGATTCATGTTGTGCAGATAACCTCCACCTTCCCATCTTCCCGCACATCAAGCGCTGCCTCCCACTTCCTCTCCCAGCCCTGCCACACCGTCCCACTCTCAGCTCCACGAATTTGCCATCTGGGGCCGCACGTGAGTGGGTCTGCTTGTCTGAGACTGGTTTGTTCCAATGAGGAGAGTCCTCAAGGGCTGACCACGTGGTTGCGTGTGCCAGGATCCCCTTCTTTTTTTTTATTATTTGTTTTTTGTATATACTTTCAATCATATTGTTTTGCTTACAATGAGACCATTTCGATATGTGCACATTTCTCCCCAGACCCGTTGATCAAAATATCTTTAACAGATAACACCACACCTCCCCATCCCATCAATGCTCTACCTCTATATCCCTTCTCCAAATGTCCTTCGTTAGGCCCCACTCCTCCACATACACCTCGTCTGACATTCACACCCATCTCTTGTGTTTGTTCAACCATTAGTCAATCAGTTTCAGTCATAGAATGCAGACATATGGTATATGTTAAGTGGGGACATACAATGTCTCTCCTTCATAGCCTGGCTTGCCTCACTCAGCAGTACATCTTCCATATTCTTCCACTTTCTGTTGAAAGCCAGGGTTCTGTTGGTTTTTATGGCTGAGTAGTATTCCATAGAGTATATGTGCCACAGTTTTTCAATCCATTCCTCCATACGGGGGCATTTGGGTTGGTCTGGGAGGTGATTTCTCACTTTCCCTCTTTCGGTCTCTGTTTCTTATTTGTGCTACATGTCCTATGGCAAAAATATTAAAAAGAAAAAAAATTAGCAGACCATCAGTATCATAAGAAACAGTGATTTTCCTTAGGCCAGGTTGAAGATCTGTGGATTTAATCCCCTTTTCCTTCCAAGAGCACCGAGAGGTCACCATTGTTAAGTAATTAGCATGTCTCATGTCCACTCTTCAGGTAAAGCTCAAGGGAGAGCTGGTGAGGACAGGGTGTGATGTGGCAGGGGGTCAAGGATGGAAGTAGCCCACAGGTTAGGGTGAGTGAGAAAGCCAAAGGAATGGAGCTTGGCATTGCTCTGGTCCCTGTTCCCTGGTTCCCAGCCTCTAGTATTCCCTGAGTGTGTAGCTGTTTGGAAAAAAGATGATCAACCCTATTAAAAGATGGGAGGAGATGAAAAAAACACTCTCTGAAGATGACATATGAATGGCCAAAAGGCATATGAAAAAATGTTCAACCTCCCTCATCGTAAGGGAAATGCAGATAAAAAGAACAATGAGGTACCACCTAACCCCAGTCAAAATGTCTAATATTAAAAAACAAAAAATGGTAAGTGTTGGTGGGGGTGTGGTGAAAGGGGAACTCTTTTAAACTGCTGGTAGGATCCCCTTCTTCCCTGGTGCTGGCTCTGATCCCACTGCATGGGTGGGCTGCACTGTTTATCCCACATCTGTCCACGGACACCAGGGCTGTTTTCAGGCTTCAGTGTTTCCCAGAACTCCCAGGCGTGCCCTATATACAGCTAAGGTGGAGCGGGTGGGCTGGGCACACCACAGCACTCTCAGCCCTGACTGTTATCAAGCCCGGACACCGACACTGCTGCTGGAGCTCCCCATACTGCCCACCCCAAACCGCAGGACCTGCCAGGTCCCCACCCAGTTGGTTCCACCCTGTGCTCTGGGATACACAGGGCCGCCCAGCATGGCCATCTGAGAGGCTACCTGTGGACCCAGTGCCCTTGGGAGCATCCTCTTTCAGACACTGCATGGGTCACCAAGTGGCACCCCGATGCCGGCCGGCCCCCAGCTCGCATCTCCGCAGGTCTGCCTGTCTATGAACGCTCCTGCGTGAGGCTCGCTCTAACTGGGGCTGGAGAACCGAAGCAGCCAAGGGAATCCAAGTTTAGGGACCAACACTCCGCGCGTGGCCTGGCAGGTTGCACTGTTTGACACCGGGCTTTGCTCACTAACGCACTTGTGTATCCGCGCTGTGTACCCCGGGCTGGAAGCTAGACAGCCATGAGCCTGGCTTCCTCGCTACCACGTGGACACAGGCCCCACCCGGTGGCACCTCTCCAACAGCCGGCTGCTAGGGACTTCTGGGCCAGCCCCGCACGCAGCCCACGGCCGGGCTTGCAGGGCACAGCCCAGAGCTGGGCCACAGCGGCACGACGCGGGCTCCGGACGCAGCTTCCCGCGCTCTGTCTGGAACTCGGCCACAGCAAAGCCCATGCCCAATTTCAACCCGAGCCAGGGACGTCCCCGGGCCCCGCCCCTCCG